TTACTAATATATGTAGGTATGTTGACTCTCTATATGGTATAATAAAATATATGTCTCACAATATATATATCTAGTATATATCTATATTATTTGTATGTTTTTACCTCTCAAATTACTACTAATTGAGATAAATCTTCTTAAGTCTTATCTTATATATATGGGTAGCTAGTTATATCAATTTTATCCTGGTTATTATGTATCTTATTTTTTATTATGTATGTTTTTTTTTTTCTCCTTTGTCAACTTTATAATCAATTAACTTACTTACTTACCTGTTTTCTAAGTCGAAACTGTGAGGTAGCGACCTAGCGAGTTTCTTGCCACATTTATAAAGGAGTCGACACTATGAGCTCTGTGGGTAGCAGGCGGGCCGGTTTTGCCCGTGAAACACTGCTTCTTTCTTTTGCCAGCAAGGGTGAGTAAACCGGATTGGCCGGAGGTCACCAAATTCCCAGAGGTCTAATGGTCTCAACATGCATGTATCTATTTTGCTCGTTGCGTGTGACACCCTCTAAAGTAAAGTTCGAACGTTAAACGACAAATCAGTTATTTCCGTCGTAAAGAAGACATAAAGGTGACATCGCGACCTTATAAGATTACAGTTGTAGCAACTACCACTGAATTTCCCGGTGTTTGGTCAAATTACAACACGACCGTCATAGCACGTCCTGCTGTGTACAACTACGTTATGTTTTGTGGAAGTTTATACAATTATAGGACGAATATCGTGACATATTGGGCACATATCAAGGAGTCGTGGGTATGGTATAAGTATTACGAAGAGTTGTAATTATTATCTGTGTAAAATTTCGTAAAATATACTGAATATTCATGATCCATAGTACGAGTATGAATTTTGACTAAGGAAACAAAACATGTAAGTAAACTCTCACCTGAAACATGAAAGTCAAATGCATACGAAATGGGGTTTTTCTGCCTGAATTTTTTGCTGAAGATCAAGATGGTATGGGTCGAACATACATTGCCCAGAATTAATAGTAATGTCAGTTTAACTCTCAAATAACACTGAAACCTCCCTTCAAAATGCTTATTCCACTTTACGGAATACAGGTAGTATGCCGTCTTGAGCACAGTTTAATCAAGAATCGAAATGACAGACTATAATCAGGCAAACTTCTAAACATAGATTTAATTAAGGAGTGCAAGTCGACATAGCTACAAGTAGGACACAATGTAAAGGGGAGGGACGGTCCGAGTCTCCTCAGAGACCAGATGTCACACACAATTTGTCTGAGTTGTGTGTGCTAGTCGAGACCCCGGCACGAAGTTGTTCCTTTGGTAGCTTCGTAAATCCGTGTAGGTGGTGAGAGCCTTTGAAGGATTTACGTATATCACGATAAAGAGGTGTAATGTTGTGTATGCTCTCCAGTTTGTGCAGGTTTTGCTACGATTTTGTGCGCGTAACCAACTCAAAAAGTACTCCCTTATGACGGGGAGTCACGGGTCTCTAGGAGTAGTTCGTCGGAGGTCGGATTAATCCACATTCAAAAGGACAGTCGACAAAAACGAAAGGAGGGTCGGTGTGGTCATTTACCTGAACGATTAGTAGGTAAGCCTTGGTATTGCCTAGATTCGCCTTCCTACCTTGTCCGGTAGGGGTTGGATCGAGGTGTCTTGAGTCGACGAAGTGTTTTTTTTTGCATTTGAGGTCCCATGACTGTACCTAAGTCCTTCTCTACTGCGACCCTTGTAAATGATTACTTTATAGGGTTCCTTTTGTATACGTGAATTACGTCATTATTTATACGTGGTACAGATAAAGTTAAATATTAACAAGAGAAAAGGGAAACAATAGGTTAAAATACTTAGTTATAAACATTGAAACAATAATAGAAAACTAGTTTTTAGAAAAATAACGCAAAGTTGTTGACGTATTTGTGACAAACAGGTAAATATTTACCTTTCGTTTTATATACGTATGTTGAGACATGACTAACATACATGTTTTCTCTTTTTTTATTAATCTTTCTTGGTGTTTGTTTGTTATTTGTTGCCTGATTTCATTAAGGGATGTAAGTGACGGTCACTCGTAACATGGTGTACTAAAGAGTATGTGTGGGTGAGCTAAAGAGTATGTGTGCTAATAAATTAGATGTCCTTGTAACAATCTACTTATATATACACACCATTATTCATACGTGTTTGTACGTAAATAATTTGTGATACACCTACTATTTCTAACTGTATGAAAATAAACATGATTATACATACTATCAATTGTCGACGAGAGAGAGGAGTCACGAAAAAAATTTTACTTTGAGACTTCGGGTCCTTTATGGCCACCTTCACAAAAACGTTCACACTTACGTTTTTGATTTCGTCTCACTGGTGAGGACGTGTAACCGTATCAACATAGACATGTGTGTGTGTGTGTGTGTGGTGTGTGTGTGGTGTGTGTGTGTGTGTGTGTGTGTGTGTGTGTTGTGTGTGTGTGTGTGTGTGTGTGTGTGTGTGTGTGTGTTTGTGTGTGTGTGTGATAGTAAACTTAATTAATAGACATGTGTGCAAACAAGCGGAAAAAATGGATGAAATTGTACAGTAAGGATCTTACCATTTGCAGTGTACTTTTCTAGCTTTTCTTTTAGAACTTAGCTAGTCTAGGAACAGAACAGAGTGTAACTTACGGATGAAATGTACTAAACTGTATGACATCCTATCTGGGTACTCCTGTGTGATAGACAACTCAGCCATGAGGGCGGCAAACGAATAGTCTACAGTCCAACAAAATAGCAGTGGGGAAAATCTTTTATGAAACGTACGGAACGATAACGATAACAAACACGTTCGCTAACTCGTCATAACTAGACTACACACTCTAACTTCGGACTAGCAGTATTCGTCATATTTCCAGATGGTGAATAATGTCACGTCCCCATTCTCGGTCACCAAACACAAGAAAACCATAAATTACACACAACTATATTCTGTTTTCCTTACGCTTTTTATGGTTACTTATTATGTTACTAATGTAAAATCAACTTACTACGAAAAATAGCGTTTCGCTGAATGTATGTGAGGTCAAGACTCTCCGTTAGGGGGTGTCCTCGTTAGACCCCAACCTTCACAGAAAGTCCTTGTGTTGCTATAACGACTGACGTCCCCCCTAACTTGTCACGTGATTAAGGTGGACTCGGTGACAGATACATATATAACATCACAACCTTATATAGATTTATATATATATATATAATATATATATATATATATATATATATATTCTTTNATCATGGGACCCTATTCCGAAAAAATAATACATTGAAGTCAATGGAGAGATAAAACTTGTGCCGTGAATTACACATATGTTGTTTGTCAATCTTAAAAAATAATTTCCATGTCAAAAAATTCAAAGTTTGTCTTAAAAACTGTTGAATATAAGACTATGAAAAATACGCGACTAGAAAGACTACAAATCCCAGAGTCGCATAAGTGCTGTCATAACTGATGTATTCCCTCCAGATAGCTAAAAATACATTTACTTACTTACTTTAACAAGATGCCTGTGTGCTTTGTACCAGGTTGTTATACCAGTAATAGTACCTCTTGCTCGTTCTCAACTAAAAGAAACACGAGAGTGTACCTTGTTAGCTAATGTTAGCTAGCTGACATTAACGTTACACATTACACTCGTGTTACTCACCGAAACCTTGTAAAGCCGGTCCCGCATGCTTGGTCTTACGGAACCGACTAACTCCCCTTTTTCGTATGTACAGCTCTCAACATGCCCAGACTTGTGATTTTCACCTCTTTTAATACTTTTCTCCTCATTCTGAAAGAAAGAGGTGAAATGTACCAACGTGACGGCCATCTTGGTGTTGGTGACGTGTGCAAGACCAGAGTTGTAATTCATTGAGCGCTTCACACAAAGTGTGTAACTTCACAGTTTTACGACACATTTTAATTTTTTTGACTTGCAAAATTATCTTTTAAATTGACAAACATCATATGTGTAATTCGTGGCACAATTCAAACGGGATCGAAAGATAATCTTTCTCTCCCCATTGACTTCAATACATTATTTTTCCGATATAATGTCCCATGGAGGTCCACCGGAAGGGGAGGGACTTCACCACTCTATACCCAGAATCAGCACTTTTGAAACAGGAAGTGAAATAGAGGGATATGAGGCATGACTAGAATGGGTGATCTGTTTTGTATTTTGAGCAAAACACTTCATAGACATGTTTTTTATATATCTGAGACCTATGCTATTGCCTAAAAATAACATGATAGGTGCACTTTAATATCACACTTGGCTCTTTTTTTTACAGCATATTATTTAATATAGCTTCTGTTCATTACCTGGTAAAAGAGGGAACTATAATATAATAATGCTTAGAGGTTTAAGGTAGCTGCTGTTAAAGTCAGACTGAAGCCCTTTTGTTTCATTTGATTTCCAAGTACTTAAACGCGTGTTTGACTCGTTAATAAATAAACTAATGTTAAGAAAATCGGATGAGGTTATAAATTAAAAAGGAGCTCTATCATATAAAGTTGGTAAAGAATACATTACAGTTCCTTTTTTCATAAAATGGTTATATTTTTTAGCACAGCCTACTGAATATTAGCACATTTTCTCCAATTTTAAATGTTTAGGAACACAGTGCACGTTTTCCAGGTGTTTGTATGTGCGATCTGAAAATGCACCATTAGTCTTGAATAACTTGATATTGGCCACTAGTGGAATCAACTCCAGATGAAAACTAATTTCACAAAAGATTTCACTGTTTCTCTCAACCATCTTCTGCTTTAATATCTCAGCCTGAACAAACAAGACTTGAAACAACACTTTGCAAAACAACCCACAGAAGTACGTCAATGGGGAAAGCCATAATTATTTGTATGTCTCCACATCTTTGCACTGTATGTTAACACAAATATGTAGGAACTTAAACTATGACATGAACACAGATAATCAAAGCATTCTTTGGTTGAAAATTACAGTCAAAACCACAATCCTAACTTCCTGTTCTTCCACCTAGGTGGTGTCAGAGGTTGGAGGGGAAGAAGAGGAAGACACTGCAGATTATTCACTTCAATGTACTGCAGCCAAAGCTCCATCTGATGCAGCGTCTCTTTAAAGAACAATTTCACTTCCACAAACACTGATGATGAGGTTAGAGAACAATCACAGCCCGTTTTCAAAAGATTATTATTAGAAATTCATTGATTTTTCTTCTGTTTGGTTGTATTTTGTTAGATTTTTCTGGGTTATAAAGTCATACAATTGGACCAAATCAGTTTGTTTGTTAAAAAAAAAGGAAGTTCCTACATCTTAAAATAATATTATGGTATCATTAGTTGAAGTTATAAAAACCCAAACTTTGGAAATAATACCCATACAAGAATGAAACAAAAATAAACAAACTGTAATGCATAATAAAACCGTCTTAAGCAATGTAAATATACAAAACACAATCAAAATAACTATAATATATATATATATAATAATTGCCTTTAAATTGTACCCATCAGTCTGTTGAAATAAATGGTTATTCTTTTCACAAAACGTGTATGGTGCATTTGTTGAACCTAATGATCTCCAGATAGTACTTAAAGCATGCACAGAACACTTTAAGGAAAAGTATATGTTAAAGTTATGTTTGGCAGCATGGGGACAGCCTCTGAAAAAATGGGGCGGGTAATGCAATTTCATGCAATGACATCACTTTTCCTCAGCCCAAAACACTGAAGCCGAGGCAGGAGAAGAAAGCGGCTGCAGGGGGAGGACGCTGCCAAAATGAGCACAAGATAGATATATTTTAAATAAAAAAACTAGTATATTTCAGTATTTAGTTAACCATGGAGGAACAGCGTCGTCTTCGGCAGTTTCCATCCAAATGAGGTGAGTTTTTCAAACAAGAAAAATGTCGTTTCATGTTCGCCTGGTCGAGAGGTTTGCCGGAATACCGACAGAGGCTTTTGGCTTTTCATTGATTTAACTGCACCGGTGAAGTGAAGGGCTGAGCGGAAATGAAGCTAAATGTGTGGGTTTGTTTGATTTAACGTGAAACCGTGAAACGCCCCGGTGTTTTACAGCGTTTTTGGGAGAGACGCAAGGGCGTAACAGCATTACCCGGTCGGAGGGGACGCTTTTCGGTGCAGGTTTTTTTTATTGAAGGGCCTGTCCCAATCCACAAAAATGACATATTTCTGCGTTTTTGTTTAACTGCATGAACATGCTAGCTTAAATACATCCATGTCGCAGTTATCGCCTCGTTTTAAGGTGTAGAAACCAGAAAGGGGAACATGGAAAACGCGACTGACATCTGACTCCTAACGGTACATTTTGTATCTTTCTCACAAGGATGCAAAAGCGTTTTATGGTGGAAATAAAAACCCTTGTGTTCACAATCCTGGCTGTGTGACTGGAGACAGGGAAACAGGCTTAAATCAGCCCAAAGAATGAATGAATGAATTAAGGGGAATGTGTCTGCAGCAGGGTGTAGAGGAGGAGAAACCTCTGGTTCATACTAAACTTTACTAAAGGAAGTACATTTTTAAAGAGGATCAAGCACATTCATCATAGTTTACCTCCTCACTAGTCTTCAGGGATGTTCATTTCTATTAGCTGATTTCCACTGAAAATGTGCTTATATATGCATTTCTGTGCAGAATGATGTTTGTGCAGAGTTTGATAGAGAAGGTCGTTTCCAAAAGGGGAACGTTTAAGATGTGTTTGATTTAATGGCATGTTAACTACTTTCAAAGCTGATCATATAATTTACTTTCTTCACACATAACTTATCAGGTGTATTTTCAGTTTAAGTTAGAAACAGTTAGTGAAAGGAAAGTTCTTTGCAATGTGGCAGAATATAGATATATTGTGAAATGCAACCTTTTTGTAAAAAATGAAAGCAGAACACAATACTATTCTTATCATACAACATGTCTGCAGGTTATCTGCATGATACGACTTGTCCATATAAAGCAGCGTGTGTTGTCAGACATTGTTTCACACAGTAAGATATGTCACTGTGTATGTCACAATTTCAAACAAAACATATAAAGAGGTATTGGATTGGTTAAAATGTTGTTGGTAAAGTGACCCTAAAATAACTTTGGACCAATAACAACCCAATAACAGCCTCAGACGTCTAGTGATCAGCACCTGTTAGTTTATATAGTATCCAGGTGCAAACAAACACTACAAAGTGAGAGGGGGAAATTGAAGAAAGCAACAAGACTGACAAACCTAAAAATGTAGGGTAAAGTTTGAACCACATTTTCAGTAAATAAGGCAAAAGAAAATGTGAATAAATGCATGTTTCCACTCATCTTTTTTCCGTAAAACAACATAATTAAAACAGCGCCGGCTGCTCACATTGCACATTATAAAAATGTATATAAAAGTTTGATACTCAGGTTTGTTTCGTGTACTAATTTAAGGAAACGTTACAGACTGCTCATTGGTTGGCTGACGTTTATGTAAGCTGCCATTTTTAAGGAAGTTCAGGTCACATGCTTTAAGTACGTCCTGTTTATTTGAATAACTTTGTTTTCATAGAATTTTTACTTTGCAATTCCACTCAGGGTTTTTTCATGCACAAATACAAACATTGTCTTTAAAACAGTTGGAGTTTATTGTTAGTAACTCCAAACAAATACAGAGTAATCACTATTGTCATTATTGATCTGTCGTTGAATCATTTGAACAACAAAAGGTTAGAAAACTGTAAAAAGGTCATCACAGTTTCTGTAAGCCTTGAACTTCTTCAAGTTGCTTGTTTTGTCTGAAGAATCTTAATGATCATGTAAACCAGAGAAAAGCAGCCAACCCTCAAAACAAAGAATGTTTGGCATTTTTGTTTGAAAAATAATTGACTAATTATTTTGGATTTATAGGGGTTCTCCTCCAAAGTAACGCACTGGATTGGTGCCCACGTTGGCCAGGAGAGAAACATTTTTGGAGCGTTATTGGCAGTAAATAATGTGTTATTGGATCAAACTTTAACAATGCTGCTTTTCAATAAATGTGAAACCCTCCACATTTTCTGAATGGCATCCTAGTCACGGGGAGCGAATTGTTTCTGGATTGTGGAGGGTTTTTATTGGCCATAAAACATGTAATGCCCGTAATCTTAATAAGTTGTGAGGCCAGCAAGATGTAACACCTGTCAGACAATGCTGCTCTGCTATTAGAGTCCTTTTGAAAGGGAAAACATCCACACTTAATGACCTGTGTCTGTTGGTTTAGGGCCACTTTTGCACTCATGCTGTTTTCATTGTCTCGCTGTTTTCTGAACAAAGCCCAAACTTTAGCCCAGTAGAAATGAGGATGTAAGGATTGTTGGAACCCTTTTTGGACTTTCACAGAGATGGCCTGCGTTCAGGCTGTAAAATATTTAATTTCCTTGAAAATCTCCCATGAAATGCTCGATGAATCTTTTAGTGTTTGTAGGAATGACGTGCCCCCCTTTCCTTTTTCCAAATTGCCTTTTGATGTAATGTTGCAGTTTGCTGTTTTTTGGCTTTTGCAGATAAATATATCATGTTAGAAAACCCTTTTAAGACTTTGCGTCACAAAGAGCCTTCAAAACAGTTTGAGATGAAGGGATTTGACTGTCTTTTTAGCATGTTTGAGGTCTTTCAGATTAAAGTTTGATCTTATAAACGGTCATTTCCAAACGTGTTTTTAAAGAAGACTCCACTGATTGATCTTTGTACTCCTGTAACATTGTTGGACTTGTGATGAACAGTTTAAAACAAAAAAATTGGGGGGGGAACAATAAGCAAAACACATCTTTTAAGATAATGGGGAGTTTAATAAACAACCACGAGGACCGAAATGCAGAGTTTGGTACCATTTTTAAGAATGTTAAGAAGAGCTGCCATGATGAGTTGACAAATGGATTAGTCTTTCGTAAAATGAGCACCAAACATTTTTGATAAGAGATCCATCTTTAAAGGTCCCAGGTCATGGCCATTTCTACTGATCATATTTCCATTGTTGAGGTATACTAAAATAGATTTAAATTGTTCAATTTTCCAAACTCACATTGATTTCTCATACAGCATCTCTGTATAGTATGTGTATTCACTCTCTGTCCTAAACGGCTTGTTGGAGCTCCTGCCCCCCCCTCCCTGTGAGCCCAGTGTGCTCTGATTGGTCAGGACGTTGCGAGGCTCGTTGCGAGGCTCGTTGCGAGGCTCGTTGCGAGGCTCGCCGCTGCTGCAAGGAGCGGACAAGTTTCCGGGTCGGCGATAGAGCGAGAACAAGCTAAACTCATCCTGAGGACACACAAACACTCACAGCCGAAGTCAAAACAATAAGTGTGGCTTGATATTGAGTAAGAAAAAGGTTTCTAACGCTGTGAGAATGGGTCTGCGGAGAGCATTTCTCCGCCATCCCAACTCGTCTATTACCAGCGTTCAGGGAGCTCTATGCAAGTCAATGGGACTCCCTGTTAGTTAGCTAAGGGATCCTGGTGTGTGAGGTGCTCCGTGGCGATATGGTCCAATGTTCGCCCCAATGCCGACAAATGAATTCATTTGATGTTGATTGGGGTGTATCCACACGTGCACAGAACCCAGGAGCAAAACAATGGAAAAGAGAAATCTTCCAACGAGGTCGTTCTGGGTCAACATAGACACAGACTATACTGTGTAGAGGGTTATACTCGGCTACACGGGAGATAACTTAGAAGGGTTTTGACTCCGCAGACGTTACATGCAGAGAAACCTTCATAACACAAAGGGGACGGGTAAGCACTGAAAGCATGACATGAGGACCCTTTAAGGGTCATTCTTCAATACAAAAGATACTGTTGCTCAGCCCTGTCAAAAATGGAGATGTCACTCCCCGTTTATATTCACATGAGGACGGAATATACTTTAGGTTTTTGGCCTGATGAGAAGAAGACATTTGACCTTGAAGGCACCTGGAGGAACACTTTACACTATAGATGGAACATCTAGAGGACAGAAATTAACCAGACCAAGTTATCGCTGCTGATAAATCTCGGCAAATAATCGGTCAGTTGATCGGTTCGCGTCAGTGGACTTGATGCATGACAGAGTAATTTAAAGCCATCAGAGGCTCATGAGCACGTGTAGGCAGGGATTTAGGAACAATAAGAACCAAACGTGTCAGCCTTGGAGAAAATGAAATTGGTGCTTGAGTAGAATAGAACATGAGGAGAGCGATGGTCTTCCATGGCCAGAGAGAAATGAGGCGACAAGGTGCAACAATAAATGTGATGAGATACCTATCGTGCGCGATCACGATTTTTATACAGACCCCCGTCTGGCCTCCCATGTTGTGTAAGTTTTTGTGATGAGTCTCTGGTTCCCAGCTGAGACTTGAGATTGCATATCCAAGCTGCGCCCGAATGTGACATCACAGACGAAGGGAGCCGAAGGCCGGGGGTGACGAGGCGACCCCGCAGTGTAATTGGGCAGTATTAAAGTCGCTGGCGTCGCTCTGCTTCGCCCTAAATTGTCTCGCAGAAGTT